ACGCAGTTGCGAACAGCCAAAGAATGTTCTGACTTACCAGGACTTGCTTGCCTCAATCAGTTCATAATCCAAGAAGCAATCATTACCAAACCACCAAAAGAGATACTGGAACAATGGATTGTTTTGTCTGATGCCTTCTTGGCTGCGAACCAAAACAGAGAACCACCCTTTGCCCTTCTCCAAGAATTTGTTGCCCGCCAAACAATGTCCTGCAACAGCTTTTGAAACCTTCACCTCAGAAACAGCTATCTCTCTACTGACAAAGAACACAATCAAAACTCTACACCTTTCAAGAGTATAACACAAATTGCTAGAGAACACAACCTCGCAACAACACATAAAACGGAGGTTGCAACCTAAGACATAAAGAATTTGGGCAAAAACCCATTGGAAACAGCCCAATTTAAGCCTCCGACAACAATGAGTTCGGCTTTGTCCATTACACAACACTCGACACTCGCTGAACAGGTGCCAAGCATTTGCACAGAAACCTCTGCACCAAAAAAAGGCTTTGTTAAGGGAATTCAGATTCTGCTACAAGTGTTGCAAATCTAAACACTCTGCCATAGACTGTGCAGCCAAAGTGCAATGTCATCTATGCAACAGCAACAAGTACCCAACTGCTCTGCATCCAGACTCTGAGCCACCACAGCAGACAACACATAACCCTTCCTCGGCCAAGGAGCCTCAGTGTGCTATAGAGGCACACCCAGAGCCAGCGGTGAGTGTCAATTGCATGGCAATGTGTGATAACACACTGTCTCCTCGCTCATGTCATCAGATCTGCTTAGCCAACATCTATCCCAATGGACACCCAGAAAAAGCAGTGAAGATGTATGTAATAGTGGATAATCAGAGCCAAGCCCGCATAATTCGCTAGCCAAGCCCGCATTCTTTGACCTCTTTGCTGTTCCAAAGGAAGAAGTGCACTTCACAATATCAATGTGCACCGTACTATGAAGTACGGCAGGGAGGAGAGCTACTGGACTCTGTATAGAGTCATTAGATGGGAGTTCCCATAGCCAAGTGACCTCAGCCAGATTGCAACACCTGAGGTAGCAAGCAACATACCACACCTGAAGCACATGCTCATCACTTTCCCGCTCTAGATCCGGAGGCAAAGATTCTCTTGCTGGGAATAGATGCCCCTGATGCTTTAGCTTGCATTGAAGTAGTCCGAGAAGCTTCCCATTTGCCTTCAAAACAGACCTAGAATGGGGAATCTCAGGAATAATCTGTGGCGATTTGGCTGCAGGCCCAAACCGAAGCAAATGTCTTCGCAACATCCATCCCAACAGCTTGCCAACACCCTGTGGAACCGTTGGAAGCAAGAATACCTGTCTATCCTACAAGGCCGCCATAAGCAACAGCAGACTTTTACCAAGACGCTCTATACCAGACCAGTCACTGACCTAGTGTTGCTGCGGAGAAAGACTGAACTTGAAGATTGAACCTCAAGCTTTGCATGCTTTGCTTGTTTGAGGCTATATTACTGTTTACTGTTTATCTTAGTTATATAGTTAATTGATAGTTGTTGTGGAATTTATAATTCCAGGTGGGGAGTGTGCTGTCCAGACAGTATATAGGTAATTGGGAATTGAGATAGTTAAGCTAGAATTGGGAGCTGCCCCCTTAAAGGAATGCCTCATGGTAAATGTAGTTAATGCATTATGGGAAATGTAGTTCATGTCGTGGTCACATCTGTAATCCTGATTGGTCACTGAATTGGCTCTTGGTTGGGTTGGGTCCTTCTCTCTTGCCTGGACCCCTTGCTCCATCGTTATGGGATGAAAGATCACTATGCTTTTACACTATGAAGTCAGCCGTGTAAAGATTTGGACATTAAGATGAATCTCAACGTAACTGTGAGTTATACCTTGAGAATACCTTGTGATTCCAATAAAGAAACTTTGTATGGAAACCTTTGTAGAGTTTGGCCTATCTGTCTTTATACTCAGCCAGCAATTTAAAAGATAGAACACATACAGAGGTGCAGTAAGTTAAAATACTTTCTATGTTGCAGCAGTAGAAGGTCACCAACAGTTTTTCATTCAGCTGTTGTTTTCCTCAGGTAGTATAATCTCTGCTGGATCCTTTTGACCAGTGCTGAAATGTGAGTGCCTCAGGTCAGGTTCTTTTTTATGGTAATACCCAGAAACTTAAAACTGGCTACTTGCTCCACTTGGTCTCCATTGATAAGCAAGGGCCGGATGTCTAATCTATTCCTTCTACAGTCCACTAAACCTCCTTAGTCTCACTGGTGTTAAGGACCAAGTTATTGTCTCCACCCCACGAAAGCAATCCGTCCACCTCATCTCGATAGGCATACTCATCCCTCCATCCCCAGATTCATTTGATAAATTGGTGTGTGAAACGAGCATCAATTCATTTGGAAAATATGACCATTTCTTTTAAAAAATAATGTTTTCCTGTATATAATTTGTCATGTATCCTTCTGCAATTACCTATATAACAGTTTTCTCTATTATGAATAATAATTAGATATGAGAAACTAAAACAATTGGCAATTTCAACATCACTGCTTATGTTGAAGGTCAGCTGTCATAAAACATATACAGAATTCCTCAATATGTTCCATAAAAACAAAATGAAAACATTTATTTTATAAAACAATGAGTTCTACGTAGAATAGTTTAGAGCAATGGTTCCAGGCTTTAGATGATTTGGACATCGGGAAGTAATAATTTTTTGCTTGAGACTTGAGTTGTGCATTAATATTCTAAAATATGTAAATGCATATAAATTAATTTTCTCCAATCTTACTCCTGGAAATCTGGCATTCAGGAGTCTGAAAGAGCATACAGGTATCCTTTGCTTACAATTAATTTAGTGACCATTTTAAGTTACAACAGCACTGAAAAACTAACATGACCATTTTTCATATGACCACTGCAGCATCCCCATGGTTACACGATCAAAATTCAGACACTTGGCAACTGTCTCATATTTATGACAGTTAGTGCCCTGGGATCATGTGATCCCTTTGTCACCTGACAAGCAAAGTCAATGGGGAAGGCAGATTTACTTAACCATGCTACTAACTTAATAACTGCAGTGATTCACTTAATAACTGTGAAAAGAAAGGTCATAAAATGGGGCAAAACTCACTTTAAAATGTCTAACTTTGCAAATAAATTTTAGGTTTAATTGTGATTGTAAGTCAGGGACTATGGTATCTGCATTCTGTTCTCTTTCTGGACAGCAACATAATTTCTCATAGCAGGGAAAAAAATTTAAATTACTTCTTGTTACGGTACCCCAGAATGTCTCATGCACGGGACTGTATTTTGAGGGGACAAGATATAACTCATATATACATAAATAATTTCTTTAAGGCATGTGTTCGGTTCTTATCTTAAGAAGTTGATGTTATCTCAAAATTAGAATAAGTTTTTTAAAAGTTTGATGAAGGAATATAAGGTGCTAGCCTCCATTCTTTCTTGCGGCTGCATTTTCCAAACCTCCGTGTGTGGCTTCTTCGCTTTTTCATTTCCAGTTCAACAGCTTCTATGGGAATCTGGCATGGCTTTGTGGTTGGTAGGAAGAGGGTTAAAACCATCGAGTTGGAGCTGTCAAGCAAAGCGGAGGCGGGGGACAGGATAGATTCGAGGGGTGCTTTCCTGTTTGAACCCGCCACTGCCTACACACAGGGACGGGAGTGGCTCTTTCGTTACCAGGCCTGCATAGCGAAGGCGTGCAAAACCCGCTTGGATTCCTGCAGGGAGAATGAATCGGTGAGATTCCTCAGACAGATCCAGTGGTGTGGAGACCGATTTATGGGGACAAAGACGGGCAGCCCGTAACTCAAAAACATCCATTTCTGGGGGAACGCCTGCAAGAAGGGCAACTTCATCCACCCCACCCACCGCCTCCATTCACACTCTTCGTCTCCCAGAGTAGTTCGCAGCGGGGATGATCTGCTGTAGAAAATCCTATCTATATTTCTTTTATATTTCTCCCACCCCCTTTTATTTTATCTATTTCTGCGACAGAAGTATGATTGATATTGAGCATGATCCATTACTGTACTGTGTGGTGTAATGGACAGTGCTGGCTGTTACCTATTTCGTCTAGGTTGTAGCTGTAAAGCATACAGTACCTAGAATATACAAATACTTTATTTCTTTGTAAGGATGTCAGCGTTGTTCATAGAAATGTTTGATTTATTTCTGCCAAGTCTTTTCTCATTAGCCTTTAAAATTTAATTTACACTATAACGTTTATTTATTTGCATATCAAACCTTTATTAATTTTATAAGTAATCCAAGAAGGAGGACACCCCTCATCCTATTTTCCCCACAATAACAAACCTATGAGGTGAATTGGACTAAGACAGAATGACTGCCTCAAAGTCACTCAGCTGGCCTTCATGCCAAGACAAGACTAAAATCAAGAGTTCCCCAGTTTCTGGCCTGTGTCTGAACCACTAAATAAAAGGTATTGAGAAATGCCTCTATTAATTTACGTAACTCCTTATAAAGAGAAGGAAAGTACTGAAATCAGGCCAGGACTGTTTGTCTAAGCAATAATACTGAATGTACTGAATGTGCACATTTTTCTATTTGAAAACTTTGAAACGTACAACAAAAATATGTTGAACTTCTAATATCTCTAACAATACTGTATAATGTCAGAATAAAAAAAAAATCAGTAGAAATATAACTGTCAAACAAAGTGGTGCCAAATTAATCGTAACGGTGCAATATTCCAGAGGCTGGTATTGCAGATGTTTAATAGAACATAATTTTCAATATATTTTCATAAGAAATTCAATATACCTTTCTAAAAGAAGTACATTTCCAACACAACACATAATAATAAATTTTTGCTGTTCTAAAATTTTGATTGAATCATGCTGGCAACATAGACAATATCAATATGCCTTCAGAAGTAATTCCTAATTTCCTCCATTTAAAATGCAGAATTTAATTATAGTAATCACTTTTAGAACTAATTTGGTTTTAGAAATATACTAATGCAATCAGCTGCTCCTATTAATCAAATTTTTATACTCTCAGCCAACTAAGTACTTTTTTTTTCCCTCCTAGGAAAAATTTCATAGAACTGTAAGTTTTCTTTAAAAAAAAGCCCATTCAATTATTCAAAGGATTTTATTTTCAGATGGAATCGAAAACTATCTGGCATATCAGACTACCTGAGTTATAACTCCAAACATCTATTGGTCATGCTGCTGGGAACAGCTTTTTGCAAATTGGACTACAAGTACCTTACCCTTGCTGTCAGACAAGTATGTTAAGGACAGTAGCCTATAGAAATGATCCAGAAGAGGTGGCATATGACTTTCATGCAGCCATAGTCTTGTTTATTTTGTGTATATTTAAATAATACACTAATTTGGAAAATACACTATTTTAAAAGAAGAAAAGTTAGTTGAATGAAAGATGAACCACTTCAGATTAATACATCTAAATTTCACTGCCTTGGCTCCAGACTTAGTCATGCTTAGAATAAAATTATTAGACTCAAGAGGATACCCCAGCCACAGATCCCACTGATTTCAGCGAGCCTACTAAACTAACTAAATCTGGATCCAATCAGTAAAAACAAATAATCGGGACCATTTATATTGATATTAATCATCATTTTTTAAAATTTACAGAACTTTCATCCTCAAAGAGAATATTCTAAACAAATAGAACCGCTGCAATATATTTAAAAAAAACGATAATGTCTGGATTGTGAATATGTGAATTACAGACAAGATATGAATAGAATATATATTTTAAGCTCCATTCATATATTGTTTCTTTTTCACCCAAGTTACTCAGATTTTGTCAGGAGTTGTCTCTTCTTTCTTTTTCTCTTTTTCTAAAATTTTGCTTTTCTCCCCAGCAGGTTCTGAAGGCAAAGTTATATACCAGGATCTCAGAGATGTTTATCAAGATTTAGAAGAAAGCCAAAAGCCAAAAAAATCATAATCACTAACTCAGTTCAAAGATTGGAGGAGTTTTTTGAGGTAGACTACTTTAGCCTCTTGCTAGAGGAGCTTCAAGAGTTTCAAGACAGGATCTTTTTTTTCCTGCTACTACCACTCTTGCCAGGCTGGCAACCATGGGGGAAAAGTCCCATACTTGCCCTTACTGTGGGAAAGGTTTTCGGCGAAACTCACACCTTACTCGGCATTTGGCTACCCACTCTGGATTGCAGCGCCCTTTAGGTGGGAAACGTCTGGGACAGCAGGTACCAGAGGAAGACCGTCCCTTCAGCTGCAGTTACTGTGGGAAGACTTTTGCCCGCAGTGCCCACCTGGCTCGGCATCAGGAAACTCATTCTGGGGAGCGACCCTACAAGTGCACCTACTGTGGCAAAGCCTTTGGGCGCAATTCCCACCTGACCCGCCACCATAGCACTCATACTGGAGAGCGCCCCTATGAATGTGGTGTCTGCGGCAAAGCTTTCACCCGCAGTGCTCATGTCACTCGCCACCAAGGAACTCACACTGGAGAACGTCCTTTCCGCTGCACGCGTTGTGGAAAATGCTTCACCCGCAGTGCCCATCTCCAGCGCCATCAGGGCATCCACAGTGGGGACAAGCCCTTCTCATGCAGAGACTGTGGAAAGGGGTTCACCCGTTATGCACATCTTGAGCGTCACCGTGCTACGCATTCAGGAGAGAAACCCTTTAAATGTGCCAGCTGTGGTAAAGGGTTTGGGGCTGCCTCTCACCTTGTAAGACACCAGAAAACTCATAAAGTTTAACAGCTGGATTTGTGCCTGCTACCATCCAACAAGTATGAGAATTGGCCAGTATGAAGTACTTGGGCTTATCCTTTGACTTTATATCTCTTTTCTCCATTCTAAAATCTACTTTTAGAGGGAACTGAGTTCAACCCATTCAATAATATTTACACCTGGCCTGCAGACAAATTGAGGTACATTGAGCTTTTGCCGCTTCAGTTCAGCAGCACCTACCCATAGCAAAAAAAAAAAAAAAACAATTTTAGATGGTAAAACAGCAAACTATTCTAATTTTTTTCCCTTTGGGAAAAAGAAATCTTAGAGATGCCAGTCATTTGTGGTTTTGTGTGTGCTTTTACTCAGTTATATAAATAAATGCTGTATTTAACTCCATCTTTTCTGGTAAGAACTATGTCGGACTTATGCATTTATGACTCTCAGGCAAGTGTTTCAAAATCCCCTGCCTTGTCATCCAGCATTATCTACATTGCACAGTTATGATGAAACAATCTGAATCAATAGAAGCATCTTTTTGGCAATTCCCTTGAAATGTAATTGGATAAATTATTTCATCAGCTTTGGATTTTGAACCTGTGGCCTGATCATATTGTGTTAGAACAACGTGCCATGCTCACCGAAGAGACTAGCATTGGAATAGGGAGTCATTATGCCTGCATCTTAAGTTCTTCAGTAGCCTGTAGCAGCAGAAGGAAATTTTGTTGAATCTGAAGCCAATTCTAAAGATTTGTCTATCTCTTCCATGCCTCTCAAGACGTTGAGGCTTGATTTGCAATCGTCTAACTACAAGTGGTACCTGCAACACCATGTTGCAGCATAGTATATTCCTAGACCATGTAGCCATATCATCTTTCAGAGATAACTCAACTTATTTTTCTCTTCATTTGACCTGTTTCGTTTAATAGCATGCTGGAGCTCCTATTTATGCTCTAACGTTGATTTTCTTTTTAATTTTATTTTTTGAAGGGAGAAAATTACTGCCTTTGGATTTTCCAATTATTTTTCTATGTTTTTGCAAATTTTGGTATTGGGACATGCTGATAACTTGCCTCTTATTTCTCAGTAGCCCTATTTGGGTTACATAGCCATTATAAATGTACATGTTTTACCAGAAATATTGATAATTATTCATATCCAGTACTAGATATCTTTTGTGGGAGAAGTAAAGAATAGACCAAGACTTTTATCAAGTGAAACTGCAATGTGAAACTACAAAAATTTCAAGACTTTTCCATTGGAGTATATAGTTTTTACATCTTACTTGTCTTGCATCTCCCAATCCTCCAACTTTAGAGAATCGGAACTATTTTTCTTTTTTATAAATAATAATAATTGCTAGCAAAGTTACACTGATAAATTTTCTTGCCTAACAACAGTGTGTTCTAGTATCGGTAAATAAATTAGACTCAAATTCAACAAATCAAATTGTTGAAAAACATACTGTAATTTTTAGTTTATTTAAACTCCCATTTTTAATGGAAAAGAAAATTTTAAATAATTGCTGTCTCAACAGAAAGGGAACTGTAGAAGAAATGTATGGAGACAGCTGGAACCTTTATCAGAAATTTAAAGTATAACTCTGAATGTCCTGCTGTTCTGAAGTGCATCAGAAGACTAGAAGAGGCAGCAGGTAGTTTTTTTTATCTGGAATTCCAGATAAACTATGGTTATCCAAACTTGCTAAGCTATCACAGCAATTTATTGTCTATTGCTGATTTCCGTCTGCCTCTTGATATGTGGTTCTTTGTGGAAGTGGGATTCCCAGAATGTTTAAAAGCTCTGATCATGCAAGAACCTGATGATTTTCTTACATCAAGGATGCTTGTACAGAGTGCTGACTATGCCAATGATTTGAGTTATACATGGCATTTGGATCCGTAAACAGCTATAGGCAACTTGTATGGACTGGTAATAACTTGGGCTGCTTGAAACCAGAAAAATTCAGCAGTAAGACTGAAGTTATGCAGCGAAACTGTCAAAAAGGATTTCCAAAAAAGAAACAAATAATAGATGGGAATAATTAGAAATAAGAACTAATCACAACTTGCAAAATATACATGATTTTACTTGATTGCCAAATAAGCAGGGCTTTTAGCCGAAGTGAATTATATTTGAAGGAGCCTTATACAAGATATGGTCAGCTATTCTGAATTCATTCTAGTTACCAGATGGAGGAATCATTTCCTGTATATTCCAGCACTTCTTTGATGATTATCTTGCTCCAGCATTAGAAAAAACATTTTTGAACATTTTAATCAAGGATTAACTGTGATTGCCATTCCTCCATGCTATTGCAAATCTTTGTATTCAACTTAAATTCCATATACACTACATTAATTCTGTAATACACCAGCTCTTTCTTCAGAATATGAAAAGCAAATGGCAGTACATTTTCTTTTAATTTTCTATGATTTGAAAGCTGCATTAAGTTGGACATTTGTTTTTCTTTCTTTCAAGTTGATAGAACAGACACTACTTTATTTGCATAGTATTCTATGTTGTAAAAATGTGTGATCATTGGTTGCTTTTTAGCATTCCAGGAGGCAGCAGTTGCTGAACTGTCTTGAGATATTCTCAAGAACTTTACTAAGACAGGGAAACACTTCCTCTCGCATTGGTGGGGACTACCCCAAAGATGCATTTTCAAGAGGCAACTGGACTTTCTTGTTTTTCTTTGAAGATATTTTTGTTTCACATCCAAGAAGCTTCTTGAGCTTTGGGGGGAATATTTGTTTTGCTAAAGTTGGAGCTGGTCAATTTAAAGAATATAAGTCAAGAATTTCCAGTCTTGCTCTAGTAAATGACAATGATATTTTTTTCCAAATTGGGATTCAATTTATTTTATTGTTGATAGCTCCTATTAAGCTACTGTAATATGCCTGGTTTCACATATTGCAGTAAGTCATTATAGCTCTTTTGTTTATTCAGGAGAGGTAAACATGTTGCATGAAGCCAACCATTGTGATTTGTAAATTATGGTTTATAGTGTAATATGTGCAAATTGTCAGGTATAGTTCAGTAAAGCATCATTAAACAACCGTGGCATAATGGAGTCTGTGAGGCTAGCCATTGCCTCCCATTAAACATTGAGCTTAGGAATGGAGTAGAAAGTTACTTACATGTAATTCAATCTGATCATAGGCAATTTTTTATCTTCTCCATTTTATTCATTCTAGAACTGCATAGAAGAATCCAAATCTCTCTGTCAAAATGTGACTGTGTGCAGTTTGTGTTTTAGAATCTTAACATCAGTAGGGCAAGTTTGTCACAGCTATCTTAAATTCCATGGCTTTCAGTGGCACTAAAATCCCAATCAGATATTCTTCAAATAATGTTGGCTTATACTTATGTAATCCTCCAGCTTGCAAAGATTATACAGGCTAGAAGACTCAGCACCCCTGAAGGATATTTACTGAGAATAGCTGAACTGGAAAAACTTTTGACAGATTGACTACTATCATTATTCCATTAAACCCTTTTCCTGATATAGCTTAGCCATGCCCCATATTATGGATGTAGATTTCTGCTTAAAAAACAACAGTTGTTAAAACTTTAGTCAGCATATTGATGGCACAGAAGAGAAATGCAAGTAGTCTTCACTTAACAACCACAACTGGGACCAGCAATTTTATTATTAGGTAAGACAGTCAAGTGAGATATTATGTCACTACAACTTTTGCTTTTATTGCCAACTTCTCCATTGACTGTGTTTATCAGAAGTTACCTGTGAAGTGTGCAAATGGCAATCACATGACAGTTGTAAATGCCAACCGGTTGTGAGGCACTTGGCTCTTTGAGGGCAGAAAAAAAAAAACAAATTGAAGAGTAGAAGCGCCAATGGGTTAAATGACTTTATAAAAAGCAGCAGCCTGTTCATTCCCTAGTCTGTCCTAAAAGATAAACTATCTCTTGAAAAAAAAATCTAATGAATCTTTCTTATATAATCAAGTTGTTTAATACTGAAAGGAGAAAGAGATAGGGGTTTTTAGTCTCAGCTGATATTGTGGAGATGTTTGGGGAAAAAAAGAAGACAGAAAGACATTGATCTGTTGTTTTATTAATCTGTCTTCTTTAAACATTTTTCATGTGTATACTGTGTTTTTCCTGTTCATAGTCATATGAATGTCATATTTTAGAGAAAACAGAAAATAGTATTATTTCAAATAATAGGGGTATAATTTAGAGTAAACAATCAGCCAAGAACCAACTGATGTCAATGGAAATTAGAAATACAGATGAGAGGGCTACAGGGAGATATAACAGAAAGGAATGGGCTGAGTTGGTCACTTGATGATTTCCCCCTCCCCAAAATAAAAATAGAAAATGGTTGAAGAATTTGGGTGGCAAAAGAAGGTTATAAAATATTTTCTGTTTTGAAATGAGTGAAATAGAAGATTTATTCAGAGTGTAGTATGAATATTTTTATGTAAAAATGCACAAAATTGGAAGTTGATTATGTAATAGACCAGGATAAGCAACCTGATACTTTCAGATATTATTGGCAGACGTTGATGGAAATTGACAGCTAAAACGTCTGGAAAGCTCTTTTTACCCAAATGCATATCTATATTTTGAATACTGCCACCTTTTTGGTAGAAGTCAAACCTTTTTAGTTAGGAATTATGAATTGTTTGCTGATATGCAGTGGTTTTGGTTTGCAAATAATCAGAAACAAATATTCTGCAACTGTTGATCTTTTGCATTGATTCTTCTGCATGTGAGTTAGATATTTTGTACAAAAAAAGGAAAAGATTTCAAGAACTTTCATGTGATCTCTTGGAATCCAATAACTTCATGGAATTAGGGGTCTTGGCTCTGAATACATAAGCTTAAAATTTCTCAGTAACTTTCTTAAGCAATACAATTCCATGGCTTTAGTTATAAATGATACTTTTTATGTGTGTTTTTAAAAAAAGCAAATACATGAGAAAATCTTATATTGCATGGATTTCAGGTTTTCCCAAATTTTCAAATTTTATCTGGAAAGAAACAACTTTGTTTTTCTTCAATATCAAATTTTTGACAATATTACAAAACACTGGTACATATGTCATTCTGTCCAATATTTATATTTACACAGCATCCCAAGACTGGGTACTGAATTATAATAATTTTTCTGGATAAGTATAATATGCTAAACTATGAAATAACCCAATAGGCTGGATTCATACAATACATTAATGTTTTTGAAAATCCCATAATCAAACCAATGATCTGGTACAGCAGATTACGTTTGGTCTCAGATTTATCTAATCAGTGACTGATCATATAAAATATATATGATAAATTGCAAACCAAAAGTGACATTCTAAAAGGCTCTATACAAAAAAAAATTCATAATATGTAACAATGTTGTAAGACTCATTTTTAGGGTTACACGCTTTTTTCCCAATTTTATAATTTTTAAAAAAACGAGGTGAGTTTATGCTGCCTTCCAGCAAGATCTAAAAAAAAAGCAAAGGTTAATTCCCACTATCTGGCCATTGCTATTGCAGTAGATGTATGCACACCTGTCAGGACTGTTCAAATTTTCCCTTGCAAATATCTGCTCTCAGTAATGGATATGGGTCTTTCTCACTATCCTCATTATTCTAATTCTGTGCAGCAGCTCCAGCTAGTTATAGTTAGTGATAACAATTCCCAATTAGAATAGCCAGCTATATATTGCCAGGAAAAAAAGAATACATCATCAAAAGAAGACACAGACCTAGGTGATTAAAATTCAATACTGTAGGAATGCAGTGGATTCTCAGTGAAACAAAAGCTAATATGGTTGCACTAAATTACACATCACATTTCAGAGTGAGATGGACAACATATAAACTTAGTAAATTTTAAAAAAATGTATCAAGCTTTTCACCCAACTGTTCCTCAAGTTTGAAAGCTAGCAGTAGGGATTCAAAGAGACAAATGTTTGATAAAATGCTTTTATTACAGATACTAAAAGGGCAATAATAGAATAATCAATAACTGCCAGTTGCATAATACATGCCATGTGTAAATGTAGTAATCCCGAATTTCAAACCCTACATCCAGCCTGAGAGCAGATTTTCTCTCAGTGGAAGGGATGGAATGCATCTGTTCATTGATGTTCATCCACTGATGCTATGGGCCTGTCTGATGTTGGGTCTTGACCTCTGATCTTGATGATTCTGGCTCTCACAATTGGCTTAGTTTTGGTTTGTAGCTTGATATATCTTGTAAAGCTCTAACTGTGATCTGTTCAATAAAATGTGGCTAAGCATACCATGTCTGAGCATAGTGTGTGACTGCAGTCAATGACTAAGTGACTTTTATGCCTACATCAGGATGTTGCCTTGGGAAAGTTCATCAGCAGCCTTCATGCTTAGATTGCTCTTCCTTCTGGATGGTTGTGATTAACCTGGACTTCTGAATAGAGTTGAGGAGGGACTCTTGTTTCCCAGTGTTTCTGAACTTAAATTTCCATTATTGTTCAACTCAGTATAGTTTAAAGTGTTGGTAGGATTTATTTATTTTTAGAATAGTTGTATTCTGTAGCTCAAGCTTCTGGCCTCCTACAGTGCAGAATTGCCTCTGTAGCTTCACTTTAATCAGAAGATTTCCTATTTTAAAATAACTCTTCTATCCTTCAAATTTGGGATCTTTTTAAACCACCAAGTTTTATTACATTTTAATATTAGTGTACTATCTAGTCTCTTTAAAATAAATATCTATGTATGTGTTAAGATTATAGTAATCCATACTTCCGAACAGGACAAGATACATAACATTCTCCTGGAAAACATCTATAAACTTGTTTATATGCTAATTGATCAACTATAATTGGACAACTAATTGATCCCATATCTGCCTGCTTTTCCTTAGACTTTTCCACTGAAATATTGTCACTTCCATGTGAACATTCTGTAGGTTCTTAAGAACTTTAATTATACTATAACTCAGATATTTAGGGTGCAAATAGTTCTAAATGTAGACCTTGACATATAAAAAATGTCTCGTAACAGGTGACAGACAAGAATCTGCTTAAACTACTGAAAACCCAGCTGATGACCAAATTACATCCCATTAATGTTCTCTAACATACCTGATGGATTTATATAGCAGTAAGTCAGAATTTGATTTTATCTCTTTTTTTACCTAATGAACTGTGCTTTGCAACTTGTAGTTAATTGCTGAGTGTTGTATATGTACCCAGCCATTTTGGCTTATTCAGCTTACTGTGATTAAAAAAATCCATAGGCTTGCATGACTGTACTTTCCACTCCAATATATACCAATACACTTCATTGTTGTGCAGTTTAATGCATTGCATATAATATACTTTAACATTTTTGAACCTAGTGTCTTTTTGGTATATTAAGAGTGTAATTCTATTTCCTAACCAACATAGTTATGAGCTGTGTTGTCTGAGAGGGCTTGAAACAGTTAAAAGTCTATGTTTCTCAACTTTGGGAACTCTTAAGATGCAGGGGAAATCTGGGAGTTGAAGTCCACACTCTAATATGTGTGGACTTCAACTCCCAGAATTCCCTTGCCAGCTGAAGTACAGTTTTAAGTTGCCAAGGTTGAGAAATACTGGTCTAAGACATTTAGAAGACCAATGAAATTAGGCAGTAGTCTCCTCAAATAAGATGAAATGCTGGTAATTACTAAAAGCATATGTACAGCCCAGACCATGTGACCGCTTATTTGCTAGTTACTAGTGGGCATATCTGCTGCAGCGAAGAGAGTTTTATCTTATGGGAAAATACAAGCATCTTCACTGCAGGAGAAGCAGTCACAAGGCAAACACTAGAGACATAACTGATCTCTTCTTCCTCTCTGTGGCCTGTGAAATACAGAGATGTATTTAAGGCCCATTCTCTTAGATGAAATGGAGAAGAGCCATAGAATGGATCAACTCAAACTGGGTGGCACAATCCAGTTGTGAACATTCTATATTAAAAATAATCATGCACTTATGCAAACCTTTATGCATTTTAAAAGCCCAGCAGGAAAGAATACTTATCAATCTCTGCTAGATGTTTTGTTTTTCTATTTTTGTGTACATGCTTTTGAAACAGCTAACACCATCTGCAATTTCTACCCATTCTGATTCTCCCTGACCCCATTATTGCTATATTCTGCTTTAGTGCAAACCAGATTTCATTCTGAAGGCATTGGTTGCCCAATATCCTGTTGTTTTTAGTTCTTATTTATATATTCTTTCAAGTTACTGATTCCTTTCCCATGGTAGTTATTTTCTTAAACCATGATAGTAAGGAACATACAACAGGAAAACTGAAGGCATAGGACAAAGGTCATTCTGGCATATTATAGGCTTGGGATAGCTGTTTTGGCTAGAAAGAAAAGTTTTGTTCATAATGTATGCTCTGAATGTAACCAGCTATGGTACATTTTGAGTAACCCATTGTTAATAAACCACTTCTCATGATGGTTCCCATCCTAAACATATTTTTCTCAGATATTATTATTTTGATAGCATTGGCTTTCTAGCAAGCTTGATTTAAGACTAACTTTCAGCCGCAAGCTTACGATTTCATTATGGCTTTTGCTGTGTGCAAATGAAGTTGTGTTGTTGGTTTTTTGACTAAGGAATAGTAATGGAAAATGTGCTTTATTTGACATAAGATTGTCACAATGAGGAGAGGTAATTTGTTGAGGGACACACCTTCCCTATTCTCAATTGGGAACCAACCTGGGAGTAGTTTCACTAGGCCAGACCTTCCCAAGATGGTACCAGTTCAGTTAAAGCTGGAGAACACCAAGCCTGGAAAGATACCCTCTGTGACTTTCTTCAACATT